TTTTTTTTGAGTTGGAGTCTCACTCTGTCACCCAGGCTGGAGTGCAGTGATATGCTCACGGCCCCCCCAGCATTGACTTGCTAGGCTCTGGCAATCCTTCTGCCTCAGCCTTCCAAGTAGCCAGAACTACAGGCACACACTACCATACCCAGCTTATTTTTTTTTAATTGTAGAGATGAGGTCTTGCCAAGTTGCGTGGGCAGGTCTCGAACCCCAGGGCTCAGGCAATTCACTTGCCTTGGACTCCCAGAATGCTGGGATTTAGCCGGATTCGGTGGCTCAGCCTGTAATCCCATGCTTTGGGAGACTGAGGTGAGTGGATTGCCTGAGCCCACAGGTTTGAGACCTGCCTGGGCAACTTGGCGAGACCTCATCTCTACAATAAATGAAAAGATTAGCCGGGTGGGGTAGCACGTGCCTGTAGTTCCAGCTACTCGGAAGGTTGAGGCGGAAGGATCGCCGGAGCCCAGCAGGTCGAGACTGTGGTGGCCGGGAGTGGCCACTGCACTCCAGTCCGGGCAACAGAGTGAGACTCCAACTCAAAAAAAAAAGAATGCTGGGATTTCAGGTTGAGCCACCGAGCCCAGCCTCTTGTCCCTATTTTAATTCTGGCAAGCCATGGGAACTTGTCTCGAGCTGTCCCAGAGATGGGCACCACCATTTCCCTCCCAATAAATACAAGATAAAATCAGAAAGGTGGCTTCTGCCCCAGGCCTGGGCCCAGTGGTGGGACAGTGACATGATGAAAGTAGAAATGAGAAGGGAGAAAGAACAGTGTCAGGAGAGAATCTGCTCATGGCCCATCCACCTGGAGCCCCTGCCTGCTGGCCCCGTCCCCCAATGCCATCTCCATGCCCTGGCCCCTCCTCCAGATGCCTGGCTGTCCCCTGCAGCAGGAGCCCAGGTGTGCCAGGGGACCACTGTGGGAAGCTGGGTGACTCCCCACTCATCCACATAAGTGTATTTGCATGAGAGCTAGGGCTCTCCTGGGAACGCCGGTCCGCACAGAGAGGTGTGAAGGCCCAGGGGACAGAAGCGCAGGATGGGGAGAGGGGATACTGTGAGGTTTAGGAGAGGGAATCAACTCATCCAAAAAGTGCTGCCCCATCTGATCTTGTCAAAGTAACCTCCCTGGGAGGCATTTCCATCTCAGGGGCACAAAGATCTGAGAGGGTTCTCTGGGGTCCCAGCCACCTGCTGTGAGGTCCCTTCCCATGGAAAACAGGTAACCTCCCCCTGCCTCTCAGCCCCCAGCTAAAATGCAGGCTGTCCCTGGATCCCTTTGGGGGACTCTTGGGGATGTTGGGGACCCTACTGCAGGGACAGGAACCCCTGCTTGCTGGAGGATTTGAGCTGTGCAGAGTCAGGCACGAGGTGTTTCCAGAATGACGCCTGTGGCTCACCCCAGCTGTTCCCTGGCACCCCCCAGCCACCCCCACCCCTTTTCCTGGAGCCCTGGCCCTCTTGGTCCTCCAGGCCCAGCCTCAGTGCCTTCTTCTGTCATCTCTAACCCATTCACCTCCCATAATCTGGCCTCTAAATCACAAGGACTTCAAGAATGTCTCCCGGACACCCACAGTGCAGGCTCTGTCCCTGCTGGGGCAGAGGGACCAAGGAAGACCGGCAGCTTGAACAGAGACATGGAGACTCAGACAGCCCTTGCCAGCAGCTCCCAAGGAACATGACACACAGGAGAGTGTGCCCCGGGGCTGACCCCAGCACAGCACTTCCTGTGCATCAGGAACAGGGCCGAACCATTCACATACATGAGCCCTAAAGTCCTTGGGGTGATCCCATGATCAGCCCCCTTTTACAGATGAAGAAACAGGCATGGTAAATGCTTCAAGGTGAGAGATACATGGGGGGAGCCTCTGGGGGTGAGGTGGGGAGGGGTCTCGGAAGGGATCTGGGGGCGAGCAAGTTGAGGAGGGGAGAGCCCTGGTGGTAGGTCAAGATGCAGAAACATGATGCTGCTGAAGAAGGGGCCCCTGAGGCTGCTGGAACCTGGGGTGCATGGACCCAGGTGGCTGGGTCAGCTGGGGTCAGTTCAGGAAGGGACTGGAGCCAGGACTGTGTCCCAAGGACTGCAGGAGCCCTTG